GTCCCTCTTACGCTGATGGACATCAATATATATTATGATCTGTGCTAAAAGAAAGATTTAAAGGGGCAGTGTACCAAAAAATTGAAAATGTCGTCATCATTTACTTACCCTTATGGTGTTCCAAACCTGTATGACTTACTTTGGAACATAAAATAAGATATTTTGAGTTTTTTGCCCATACAATGGAAGTCAGATGTCATCAAAACAGTTTGGTTACCATTATTCATCAAAATATCTCCATTTGAGTTCCGCATAAGAAAGAAAGTCATGCAGGTCTGGAACAACAGAAGGGTGGGTAAATGATGAGAGTTTTCAGATTTGAGCAAAATATTGTCTCGATTTATTGAATGATTGTCCTTATATTTACTCTAAAGACAATGTATTTATTGTCCTTCATATTCCAGGGAAGTTTAGACTCCACAGAGAAACTACTCAAGCCTGTTCCTGTAATTTTAATGGTAAAATACTGGTGTACATTTATTTGTATGCATTTATTTATTTGCTTGCTTGCATATTTGTGTTTTTTTTGTTTTGTTTAAATAATAAAAAAAGTATTATTATATATTAAAAAATATTTACTTATTTGTTTATATTATTATTATTAAATCCTTTAACACCTGATAATAAAACACAGGTGTTTTTTAAACTGTCTATTCAAATGCAAATTACATATTCAAATCATTAGTTTATTATTGTTGTTGCTGTATATTAACTAAACTATATTCGTTTTTTATTTTAAATACATATATAATACTTTAAATGAAATGTAATCCAATTTAAACATGATTTATAATGACATTTTAGGAGCCGTCCAGTTCAGAGACCTCTTCAGCTCTCTCAGATCAAAGCAGACCAGTTATTCTGCCCTCTTCCTCTTCTTCTGATCCATCCATGCCACGTCAGCGCAGGCAGAGGAAGAAAGTCAAGTCCCTCGATGAGCAGAACAGTCATCAAGTGAGTAGTGTGGACATTGCAGTTTTTTTTTCCTCTTGTATTTTAGAACTCAATGACAGCTAAAATATGAAATAATGTTTTTATCAAATAATTAACATGAACCAGAATTAATTCAGTTACTCTTGATATCATTACTGTTGTCTTTCACCAATGTTACTCACTAAAACATTTTTATGTTTAGGTCAAAGCAGTGCCCAGACCTCTGCCGCCTCTTCCGGAAGATGTCCTATCAATAAACAGTGAACAGAAAGGCCACTCAGAGAAAAACAGACCTTCCAATCTCTCATCCTCTACCAAGAACGCTCCAGAGCAGCAGGTGAAACATTACAGACTGTACAGACTATATTAAACTGCTGCATACAGTACATCCCTATAAAATTGCATGTCAGATTACATGCAGTAATCTGATATTTCCTATGGCATCATGTTTCTTTTAAAACGTGTGTTTGAAGCTTTGTGTCATTAAGGCTTCAACAGAGTTTTTTTTTTCTTTTCTTTGCTGCTGTTGTTAACAGAACTCAATTTACTTACAGAATCGTCCACTGTCAGCCAGGGAAAGGAGAAGACTGAAGCAATTACAGGAGAACTCCAGACAACAAGGTTTGTGGTTAAAATGTTTAAAATGCAACAGTGTACTAAGTCCTAGATCGAGCACAGCAAAAATGGACCAGAACCAGATGTAAATACACTTTTAGAATAAGGAAGAATGATCATGTGTACATGCATTATCATTAACTAATATTATTTAAAAAAAAATGTGTTTGTTAAAACTACAAAAGTTATTCAGTCAAGAGAAGTTAGTGATTTTCTCTCTCTCTCTCTTGTTTTTTTTTTCCCCCCTTGGATTAACATTAAGGACACTGACAGCAGCTAGTAAACTAGGCGCGGTCACTTTAAGACACAATGCATGGATCCAATATAATGATACACTTCCGATCTCCTTCTCAATTGTTTATGTTCACTTAAGACATAACCGAGAGTTTTTTGAGGATACTCTCCAAGATGGGTACTTCGACATAATTTGTATGTATTTGTTTTTTCAAGCGCAAGAAGACGCAAAACTCGATTCGGTGTGTACGGGCTGTGAGACGCGGCTCGCTGTGCGGGCGCAGAACACAGTGCGGGTGCTGAATAAAGTCCTTTTTTTGTCTTTTTGAGCTTGAATGTTTAAATTTACGAGATGTAATTGTTCGTTCAAGTGTAAGAAGACACGAAAGAGAACTCAATTCGGTGTGCACACTGAACACAGTGCGCGAGTACTCGGTGCAGTTCTTTTGCGCCTTCTTGTAATTGAATGCTTTAAAATTGAACCCTCCCCCCCACCCTAATAGAGACAGCCCTGGTAATCAGCATATTCTGAATACATTTAGACATGCGCATTTTTTTTTCTTAAATACTTTTTTGGAAATACTAAAGATGAATATGACCACATTGTGATTAATATGGGACTATTCTTTTGAAATAAATAGAGTCAGTATGTATGCTAGATTTCAAACTGTTCACTTTTAGTTGAATCGAAGGGGGTCTGACTTTAATTCTGTTAAAGTGGCCTCAAGAGCGATAACACCCTTAAAAACAGTTTTGGTGGATCAAAGCGAGACGTTTCTGCATGTTTTCATTAGAATGCATAAGAGACTGTAGAGCCGCCCACTATGATCAAAGCCCACAGGTGCTGCATACATGAATTCAGATTAAAGGAGATTTTGTACAGTTTCATTGAATGTGATTCCTTCGTTTCTTTTCTTTGAAGCTGTGTCCGCAGTCCCCTCATTAGACGGTAAGCAGACAGACCAGCTAGACTGCCCAAGACCTGAAAGCACATCTGTGGAAACGAAAAAGGTACGTCTGATCCTTCTCGCTGACTCAGGACGGACTGTCAAACACTATACACTTAAGAGTATGACCATTTTTATAAGAAAATTATGTCATTTACTCATGACTTTTTTTCTTCTTCGGAACATAAAACAGGATATTTTGAGAAATAAACAGGACCTTCTATACATGATAACCTTAGAATGTCAGTTCTTGGCTATTCGGTCAAAAGGGCTCTTACCTGGACTGTTTTGGTTCTCTTTGTGTATCAGGAGAGACAGTCTGATGAAGATGAGTGTAGTTCCTCCACCAGCTCCACTGAACGTTCAGAGGGCGACTACAGAGAACGGTAAGACCTCCCACTAATTTGTACTCTAATGAGCCGCATTTATGTATGTAAAAATTCTGTTTAATGACTCAGTTGGGCCATAATTGGTGTCATGTTTGTGTCGTATAAACGTATTAAGTGTATTGCCAATATTCCTTTTTCTAGAAATCTGAATTTGTTCTTTGCATCATTTCCTGCCATCTCTCTACTTTCCCTGTCAGTAAAAGTGACAGAAGGCTAAGAAACACTGAAATACTTTTTTTTCTTTCTTTTTTTCTCACAGAAAGCGTGAGACCAGTGAGATGCAAGACTTGGTCCAAATGATGACACAGACGTTACACATGGATGCCAGAGATGTATCATTTGAGCCTGATGGGACAAGATGCCACTCTACTCCACTGCCTGAGTTCAAACTAAACAGGAAGTACAGGGACACCCTGATGCTTCATGGGAAATCCAGAGAGGGACATGGAGATTTCCAGATCAGTGGCTTCCCAGGTAATAACTTACCTGATAAATGTTTCTGGGTTTTATTTTTTTATTATTTTAAGTAATTCTGCATTTTTAGTCTGGTGACAGAATCCATCATCATGTTTCTAATTTTGTTTTTAGACGACAGCACGGGTCCAGCAAAGGTCAGGAGAGTGATGGAGCACTTGCGTACAGATGTGGTTAAAGGACTCGGGGTGAAGCTATTGGACAGAGTCCTGGACATCATGCAGGAAGAGGATGAAGACAAGAGAGAGGCAAGTTGGCTAAAGTCACATTGTACATTAGAAATAAACAAAAGAGTCTATTCTAATGGGCCATTGATCAGAATTTTTCAGTACCGATAATGAGTCTCGTTCACTAACCACGATGCACATTTTCACATAAAAAAAATCATGATTAATCAACAAGTCAATTATTCAAAATCATACTCTCGGTGGCCTTATAAATGTGTTTAGATGGAATTTTTACATAGGTATTTCATCTTAAATATGTTTAATCATATTTATGTTGATGTTATATAGCTTAAGTTGTGAAATTTCTCTGCATAAAAACAATTTGCATATGTACAAGAAGTTTGGAGGATGGATGGATGGATGGGTCACTCATTTTGAATACTTCCAAGTTCATTAACAGGAGAATAAATTCATGTGCATATGCAGATGTCGTGAATTAAGCAGCATTTTTGTCATGAGAAGTTCTCCTGTGCACATAAATACAAATATTCCCATTCATTACAGAGTACTATAGTTACATTTAAATGAGATGTATTTATATTGAAAACATTGTTTTTCTGAATGTACAAAACATTTTTTTGAATACTACATAAATAGCAGTTAGGCTGAGATTTTTATTCTGCTTCTCTATCCAGCACCTACTGCAAGAGCAAATGGGGGAGGAAAAATACAAGCAGTACGCAATGAAAGTCCAACAGCTGAAGTTCTTTGAGGACGTCGCATTCAAAGACTGAGCCACCTGCACATGAGGGATCTCTTGTCTTGTAATATGCCATTACTGCTGACGGGCAGCAGACTTCATGCTCTTAAAAGATAAAACACTTAATTGAAGCCTCCTATCAACAATCACTGTTGCTTTTTAATGCTTTTGTAAATGTGTAGAGATAGAAGTGAGTTAAACACCAGATATGCAAAAAAATGCTGTTATCATGCATCTTTAAAATACAGAAAAGCATTATTTTAGTATATCATCTTTCTATTGGAAATGTGAACCTATGCTATGTAGATAGCATTTTGTTGAATCACAAAAGAGATGTTAAAAATATTTAACTTTGTTCTATTTTCTGGAATGTATATTTATATCACGAATAATGTAAATCAATAAGGAATGATTTATAATAAATGACATTTTTAGGAACCCTGTGCTTTCTTGTGCTCTAACAAACCAAAGTCAAACTCGAAAAAAAAAGTGCCACATGTACCAAACACAGTTCTTTATTACATAATGAATGCACAAAAACTTAATAGGATTTCATAAGTTTGTTTCTGCTGTTTATCTAAATGGCTTTACTGTGCCAAACTGAAACTACAATATTGCCGTGAATCACTTGTGCTTCTTCTTCTTCTGATTCTCTTGAGGTTTGTCACGATTTTCTCCAGATGCCTCGGGCACAGCCGGCTGCCACTTCAAAGGATTTTTTCTGTACATTGGCCAGGGAGGCAGGGTGAGCTGAAGAACAGGAGAGCCAGAATTACACAAGAGTTTATTGTTATTCTTATTTTCACTATTAACTTTACATTAAGCAAACAGAAGTCGTATGACATACAAAACATGATACTGTGAATCCAGCCAGCATTATGTAAACCGTCCATCCAAACTGCTGAATAAATAAGCCATAGATGAAGCCGATCACCTGCAGGGAAAACAGACATGAGGCAGAGCAGAAATGACATAATGCTGTGAGAGTACAAGTGCTGCCAGTGTTACTTACTGCTGACACCAGAATGATTCCTTGGAAAATTTGCTCAGCAAGTTTCTGTCCTTTATAGTCCTGCAAATAGACATTGTAAATATATATATATATTTAAAGCTGTAAAGACCATGCATAAGATATACAATTTATCTTGGTGTAGGTTTTGCAATAAATACTAAAAAAAGGGTAGTGTTCCATTTTAAAAGTTGCAAAGTCATATAAATGTATCATCTGCTAAATGTTTTATCACAATTGTTACATTCACAATTACTGTCAATGACAAAACTCCCAAAGCTGCTGAGTGCACACTTAATTCACTTTGGCTCCGATTCCAGCACTAACTATTTGGTGTTACTGTGTTGATTACTGCAGGAAAATATTACTAAAAGATGTATTTTATATAATTAATATTAATATTAACAGGTCCGTCGCTAATACGTAAGCTGCTAACATATGTCAGTATGTTGTTGAAGCTCTAAACACCACCAACCTCACAATATTAAAACATGCATGCAAAAAAAACGTGGGCTTACCATATGCGTCGGAATGGATTTAAACACTGAAAGCATTTTGAAATAACAAAATAAAGCCGCAAGATGATATTATTGAGATGAGAGTGATGGTTTCCTGTTTGAAAGTGTGTACGTAGAGATCCGCAGGACCCCTTCCAAAAGCATCAGCGGGGCTAACACGCGTCCGATCTGCGCAGATCAGTGGGAAAATACGCCTTGTGACTGAATATTACATCTCTCAGTGCAACTGTGGCTTAAATAATAAGATAATAAGCGCGCGACGCAGTCTCCGTGCGACTATACATTTAAATAAATGTATGTTTTTAAGCAGGCAGTAATCTAGACGCACACTTCAGACCATTTATGGTCATGGGCATGTTTGAGTATGTCATCGGCCGCTGAAATGATCAGATGTGGAACTCATAGGGAACCACTCCTTCAGACATGAGCCGGAAGGATTTGGATTCATGTCAGTTATTCGAGTCTTTTGTATCATTTCACTCTTTTTTTTCTTTGGTTCGTTTAGTGACCCATTTTGCAGGTTAAATCGTTACGCTATTAGGACAAGCGAAATTTTTGAGTAACGATCTATGAATCATTCACTCATTCTTTTCTTAAATACACCGAATAATGGCCGAAACGAGTCTTGTTGTCATATTTTCACTCTGTTTTCTTGACTGCTTTATTTGCATGGTAAAAATCTGCACTTAGGACAAGCGAAATTTTTGAGTTACGATCTATGAATCATTCACTCATTCTTTTCTTAAATACACCGAATATAATGGCCGAAACGAGTCTTGTTGTCATATTTTCACTCTGTTTTCTTGACTGCTTTATTTGCATGGTAAAAATCTGCACATTGCCAAACATTGGTTGCAGACATACACATCTGCACACAGTAAAAAAAAAAAAAAAAAAAAAAAA